ATTTCTGGGACAGTTTTTCGCTCTGCCAAGGTATTATATGACATGGGCAATTGTTAGCGCATATCTTTTCTAGTGATAAATATTGCTTATTTATATCATGTCCAAAAAATTGCAACACTCCCATTAGACATTGTTGGCTTAACTTTCATTTTGGCTCTGAGCAAGTCAGCATGAAGTTCAAGTCTATATTTGGTTTATAACAATCAGACATAAGTTGTGTATAATGATCCAAGAAGGTAAATTTGAGGAAAATTAATAATCTAGTGATTTTGTCTTTTCCTATTTCTCTCTTTTGATTGGGCAGGACCATATTGTACTGTTCTCACTTCTCAATTTTTATAGTAAAAAGAGTTGCTGAACGTTTGTCTGGACAGCAAGAGTCTCTTCTTGCTCTGCTAAGCTGTCTTTTCTTCCCTTAAACTTATTTATTGGCATTCACATGCTTTTCCTGGCCACAGGTTCGCATAGCAGTCTTCAGTCAGCATCACGTTGATGGACTAGACTTGTCTTCAAATCCCCTTCTGTATATGATGCGCTGCTATCCTGTAAGTTCTTGCCGTATGGAATAATTAAATCTAAGATTGTTTCTTTGGGCATCTCTTCTATGTTCTAGAAGTTGACTACAGCCGCAGCCTCTTCTCTTCTAATCAGTATTTATTTCATGGGACAAGCACAAAGATGGTTGAAATAATTTGGTTAGAGCAATAGAAAACATCATTCTCTCAATTTTTCCCATAAAGAAATGCATAAGTGCCTATTTTGGTTGCATATTTTGTTGTTTTGTAGACAGTTTACCTATTTGTAGGGCTCAGATCAAATCTACATGGCCTTTGGGCTGATAAAATGGCGGTTTTTATGCTACGTAGTACCTGCGCTTCTGACTTGAGGGTGTCAATGAATTCTTTTATATGGACTTTCTCCAGGGTGTTCCTGAACAGAAGCTTCGAGCTCACTTGGGCTCTTTTGGTGTAACTGGAAATCTTGCGCTTCAGCCAATGTATACACTGTCAGGTCCTGCGTGCATAGGACTAGTCTTGTATCATGATTCTTTCTCCTTTGAAATGTTCTATTGATATTTGATAATTGTGATAAGTGTTAGGGCAGCTGAATTAATTGTTGCAGGGCATTACTGATATTCGGAGGTGTCATTTTGTTTTTATTGCTGAGTATATTTCTTAATGCTATACTAGGGGGACAAAAAAGCAGGGTTGCATTTGCAAAGATAACTTTCAAGAAACCACACATAATATTGCTTGATGAACCTTCCAATCACCTGGTACGTTACAGCCTCTCCAATCTTCCCTTGTTTGTTTGCTTCTTGGTAGGTCACTTTTTCAGCTAAGATAAAAAGGCAACTAGTTGTCTCTTACGTCTTGTTGGAGCGAAATTTACGGATTCTAGAGTGAGTTTTCAGGCTTTTTCCCATTTAGCGTCATTATTATTCAGCTTGATCGGGTTGAATTTAAGAGATGGAACGAGCAGAATGTTGTCTATTGGAAGTGTTTAATGCCAGAATCTGGAAAAAAATCAGTTACTCGAATAAACCATTGGAGGAAGTCCTGCAAAAAGACAAATGTATCAAAAGGTCACCCACTATTACAACACCCTACATCTATTTATACGGGAAATGTATAGCTGAACCAAATAAACTCCTAAGCACTATCTGAAATAACTACCCATTACGTAATTGTGGAATAAGAGGTGATCACCTCATTCTCCCACCATGTCCACTATTGCTTGGACCATTGTCTTCCGCTCACTCACTCTATATCTTCTATCCTTGTTCTTCTCTGTTGCTGTTTGTGTTTAATGTTTGTTGGGGTTGTGTGACATGTGGAAATCCCATGTAAATGTTATATGTTTATAAGATCCATGCGCTCTTGTCAAGGAGGATCTACTCGGCTGCCTTTGAAAACTTAGGTTGAACTTGAGATTAGACTGATGAACTGAAGCGATCATGAAACCATATAGTTATGATACCGTTAATAAGTATTGTAAACAATTTTTTTCAATCTTTAAAGTACTTGATTGTGACGGTGGGGTGCTGTGGCACCTCATCAGATGACAAGATAAAAATACTATTAAGATATTGATTCTTGGAAAGAAACTAATAAAATCCGGATTGCGACTTCTGTATTAAGAAAACATAACTTGTACAACCCACAAATTGACTGAAAATGTGTTATGTAGGACTTGGATGCTGTTGAGGCGCTAATTCAAGGTCTTGTGATGTTCCAAGGAGGCATTCTAATGGTATGTATATGGTCGTCAGTTCTCCTCAGACTCCCAATTGTGTTAATTGCAATCGATGATTCACTATCATTTAGACTGCCACTGACAATTTTGCCGCGCAAATCAATGTCTGCTTTTTGGCAGGTGAGTCACGATGAGCACCTAATATCGGGAAGTGTGGAGGAGCTATGGGCTGTCTCCCAAGGAAGAGTTAGCCCATTCCAAGGCACTTTCCAAGATTATAAGAGGATACTCCAGTCATCATAGGAGAGTGAGTTGGTAAACAATTTTTGTGGCGTGCAGCCATTTACAAATATTTATGGTGTGATCTCACATTGCCGTAGATGGGAAATGGTAACATGACACATTCAGTTGAGTTTCCCATTTTATATATTTTTGTCATTACCTTTTCACTTTTGATAATGTTCACAGCCATAGGTTGAGTTTTGAACAGCTGCAACCTATTCATCCCAGGAAGAAAAGTTTTTGTAATACTGTAATTTTGCTCTGTTTGGCGTTACGACGATGATAATGGGTGGTGATTTGCCAGATAAAATTCATATTAGTGGAAACTTTAAATTAACTGTTGAGCTGACGGATGTTGGTATTATAATTTATGGCGACATGCTTAATAATCGATGTGATGTGACTTAATTCCTCCGTGAGGATTGAAAGATGAAAGGCATGTCTTGTTCTCAAATTTAATGGCTGCTTATCTCCAATGCTATGAAAATCAGACTAAGAATAGACAGTCTGTTTGGCATGGCATTTTGGAGGGAAAAATTAAGTTACAAGTGTAATAAGTCAGTCTGTAAACTTGAGAGTTGTTTGTTATAGCATTTGGCCAATGTGACTTATGGGTTAAAAGCTGTTTTTTAAAACACTATTATGAAAGCACCTAAAACTTATTTAAGACTTGTGTAAAAATAGTTTTTTGAAATTAAAAGACATTTTTGTCCTTATTGTTCTTATACTTTTTATATGTTCTTTGTTTAGTTATTTTTTTCAATATTCTAAAATTAACGGTTGTTATAATATTTTTAATTTTTAATATTATTTTTCATTTTATATTTACATAAATTATATAGAATACATCATCCAATTAATTATGTAATATTATTTGGTTAAAAATTTTCACATTAATATTATTTCTAATTTAAATATATTTTATTAATTGAATATAACCTTTTCATTTATCCATTTTGATCGTTTTGTAAAATAAACTTACTTATTTAATTATAATCTAAATAATTTTTTTACTTTACAAACTATTTTTTATAAAAGTCAATTCATCTATAAATCACATTATCCAATGTAATTTTTACCTAATCTTATTTGTTTAAAAGTCAGATTAGAAATAAATTATTTTTTCTATTGCTAATTTAAAAGAGCCAGAATTGGTCAAACTACTAATTATGATTAGATCATGATAGAACTGTGATCATGCTAGTTGTTAATATATTAATTCATATATTTTAAATATTATGTCCTCAAAATGAAACAAATAATCTTCCATAATCATAAAAAATCACTAATAAATATAAATAAAGATATATAATAAAAAGGAATATTAATAATTACCTCATACTATTGATGTATGAGCTTAGGGGAAATCTTGATTCTAAGTTATATTTATTAATTATTTTTAAAATTACTCTTATTGATACTTTTTTAACAAAGGAGTGAGGATATTAAAAAAGATAATTAGAGTATTTTATAAAAATAATATCATATTTATTCTAATTAAATAACTTATCTAAATTTTTTAATCTATTTAACTAAATAGGTCTTATATTAAATATCAGAAGAATATTTATGATTTTAGAATATACATATACGCATATCACTTGCCTATTGGTCTATTGTTCCTTGTTTCCCATTGCTTGTTAGCTGTAAATATGTACTAGTTCTTAATATAAAAATTAGTTGACTAATTTAAGTAAATTAATTAAATTAGTTATTTGTAATAAATATATACTGTCTTTCTTTAAAATATTCTTATTAATCAAGTGCATTCACTATAACTACTATTATTACAAGGACTATTTTAAAAAAAAATAGATAAATATAAAAGACAAAGTGAATTGAGATCTTTTATTTAAAACCAAAATAAAAGTCAAACGAGGTCTTATATTAATAATACGAGGTATATAAATTATCTTCGGTTTTCTCAGCGTTCCAAACCCGACATGTGACCCCCCTTTTTTTTTTTTTCAGTCGAACTTCTTGGTCGAGTCTGTTCCTCGTAACAGCTCTAAATTGTTTACTCCATTAAATTAAGTAGAAGGAATCAAATTAAGACAGGCGTGATGGGTCTCTTCCTTTCTAGCTAAGAATGCTATTATGGCGTGCAGGGTTTTTTTTTTCCATATCTTTTCTCGAGAAAAGTTTCAGGAGGGAGGTTGAAGTCTTGAAGATGAGGGATGGTGACTTGGCAGCCAAAAGATGACTGAGTTATGAGTTGGAGAAGGATTATTTTCTGAAAAATGAGAAAAAAAAATAAGGCTTGAATTTTAATTAAGTAAAAAATTTAAGAATTGAATTGCACTAAGTTAGCTTATAAATGGTTAAAAGTTAAAAGACTAAAAAGAGTAAAAGATTAATTTTTAAAAAAATGCAGGAAGCGGACGCCAATATGGGACGAGATGAATGAGTAGTTGGTTGGTGAGGCAGGAATGAAGAAAAAAAAGAAGAAAGAGTTGGGAAAGATAAAATGGAATGAATGAGTACGACAGGCCTGGGCAAAGGAGTAATTTACTAATTTAGTACACACCAGATCTTGCTTCATTTTTGGCCGACACAAGAAAACTTAGCTTCGAAGAAGATTGGATCAATTTCGATCTGATTCCGTGGCGAAGGATGGAGAATACCAACAACAGCATCATGTCGAGGGAGAAGATCGATCAGATGACTCTCTGGTTGGGTTCCACACTTTCGTCGGCTTTCTTCTCCTCCCTGGAACGCTTCTCCTGCGTCAACGTCTCCACCCATGATGCCGACTGTGATGCCGATGATGACGATGCTGTTGAGATCCAAAATTCCGCCTCCGCCGCCAAATCTACTGGTCCTCAGGTCAAGGACGTTTCTGACCTTCCCGTTTGAGACAACCTCCTCCTTCCTGTATACGTCTTTCCCTTTTATGTAGAAGTAAGGGGTCCATTCATTCTAAGCTCATCTTCTGGTGGAGTGTGAATTATAGTTATAAATACATGCATATATCCAATTCTGTGTTGTCATGTGATTATGAAGTCGATATTCCTGATTTTCGTCGTATTACCGCTGCGGATCATCATCTTGTATCTTTAATGAATCAATCGTTTATTTCATGATTGTTGCTGCTATGTACATTCATGACTATCATTCGATTCGTTCTCCATTATAGTTAATACATTTGATTTCATGATTGTTTCTGAACCTTTCCTTCCTGATCCAGCCTTGGGTTGGAACCAATGTCATGAGCCAGCGCAAGGAACTTCTATATCATTAATTTTTTTTCTTTATACTTTTTTGTGGGGTCTGTGTCTCATGAATCTAATTCTAGAACTTTACGCGTTTTAATCTATCTTCAAATGTGGACGTGGACATATGTTACGTAATTTGGGGAGTCTTTTCGCTAGGCTAGGTCACTAGAATAGAATGATATGACATGATTTATTTATTTGAATTGGACTTGTGTAATTTGCGAAGTTTGAATTTGACTAGGGATGACGAACACCAGTCTGGTAGGAATTTATTAACGAGAAATATGAAAAGCTGTTTTTCCCTCTTATATTTGTCCCCTGAAGCCATTGGGTCTGGTTTTCAAATGGTGATACTAACCATGGTGAGAATTATAGTAGAACTGGGGCGAGAAGTTTGGCTGGAGTTGCTTCAAAAGTGTGGTGGGAAAATAAACTAACTTCAAATTATTGGGCCAGCAATTTGACTCTGGTGATTGAATATCCTTTTATGATAGGAACATATCTATCTTATGATTAGTTAGCTTCACTTTGCTCGCAACAACATATTGAAAAGTGAGTAACCTGGTAAAAATGGTTTTAGTTAGAGGCTCAGGATGTTAGATCATGTACTTTTTTATATATTTGTGCTAAGTGTGCATATGAAACAGTTGGAGGCTGAAAAAGAAGTGGGCAAAAACTCAGTTCCCAAAATAGACTAAAGTTTCAGAATATGCCCTGAGATTGAAAGTTAATTCTTGGAGAAGTTGACTTTTATTCTGATTATTAGCCTAGGAAAAGTAGTCGGGCAAAATAACCTTTACTCTGGTTATGGAGTTGCTGAATTTTGGAAGCGAATGTCTCTGATGAGAGGAGGTATTTCTCTAAGATGTTGCAAATTTAGAGCATGCAATATGATTGTATTATGAGTTGATATCTTTATCCCCTTTGCTTTTTTAGGATTCATTCTAAGCCTCTTTCCTTGCTTAACCTATTACATGTGTTTAAGTGTGTGAATCACTCGATATTGTACCTTTGAATGTGTAGTTTGCTTTGCTAGGTAGGAAATCGTCACTTACTGAAACAGAAAGAGTTAGAGGAGATAAAAGATGCTACCATGCACTTGCTATTGCTAGGTGTAAATTCTTCCTTCATATTCGTCATTTAGAGCTTCTCTGGCAGGTGTAATTCCAGCGTCCTAGTTTTTTAGACAGAACTATTTTACAGCTTTATAACTACTATTAGACCCTTGAATATAACACTAGATGAAGAGTAGAAACGTAAGTGGGCGTTTTACCGGTTTGCTTAATCTCCATTCTCCTTCCAACAGAGAAGCATGACTATGCACCGTCGGATAATATAAAGCTTTGCTCTCTTCTCCTTCAAAACTCTACCCTTGGGCTCCTGAAGATGTTTGGCTTGCTTTCTTGAAGACGTAGGAGTTTCCATGATCTAGTTTCACTTGCTCAACTTCATACTCACGGAGAATTCTTCTTTCGCACGGATTATAAGAGGTTTCTCGGTAGTGGGAGGGAGGTAGGATTTGCCGGAGTTAAGTTTGAGTTTGCTTTGAAATCAGCAAAATAGTGAGAGTGAATGGGAATATTAATTCGAGTTAGCTTTTTCGGTCAACCAGGAAGCTGAATTTCTGCTTTTAGTCGCTGTCTTGGGCTTCCCTGGTCCCTACTCCTGCGTCCGGAATCCCAGGACTGCTGTTGTCTGTGCTCTGCTTCTTTATTTACTGCCTAAAGACAAATAAACCACTTAGGTCCTGTTTGTCATGAAACATTGAAAATGAGGGATAAGGATTATGATTAGGATTAAAAATATCATTAAAGAGTATTTAGTATAAGTAATTTCTTGTTATATGGGATTAAGCAATCCCATGTAGGTGGAATTGAAGAATACTACTTCCTCTTATGGTATTCCTTAATCCCACGTGTATGAATTTGTCCAATCTCAAGTAATAAGCAATTATTTATACTAAAAACTCTTTTAACATACTTCTTTCAATCTCAATCATAATTTCTATTTTTTTTTCTAATGTTTCGTACTAAACATAACATTAGGCACTTAACCGAATAACTTTATGAAAACTCATTTGCCTCTACTAGAATTATAATCTTTCACTGCCACGCCATTTCTAGTCTATCTTGGTTTCTTGAACTTTTCTTGTTTTTTTCCCCCCCTTTTTAATTAAATATATTATCCCCATTTCGGACACTTGTGTTTTATTTGATGCCTAACTTCCAAACATTCTATACTAAGGATACACACGCATGCATGTGTATATGTATATTCGGTGAGAGGGCAAGGATATGCCTTTAGATTTGGATATCTTGGTGAGCGAGTCTGTGTTGTGGGGATGCATTTTACCACCAGTAAAACAGAGTACCCCCCGCGAGTAATATAACCTGTCTTCTATTAGGGCAAACCTGCCAGTGAGCTCCATTGTGGTAGAAAATAAAACTATTCTGGCTTCAAGTTTGAATGAGGCTGAGTAACAACACATCTCAACACCTGTTTTGCTCATCGTGCCATTGTGCTTTGTGTTTTTCCTATGAAGTTCAGTTTTATTATTCTAGTCTAGAGCGTTGGAATCTTCTTATATTATTTTATGAGGATTATATGTATCAAATATTCCGATGAGCCTAAGATTTTTTTTCCCCCAGTTTTGTTAGATTTACGTTTTTTTTTTGGGAAAAAGACACTAAAATACCCTCAGAATTGCTAAATGACAAAAGATGGTAGGTAAATTTTAAAATTGCAAGTCAGACCCCAGATACCATTTTGAAATTTTCAAATTTTATAAAATTACACAAATGCCCTTTACTTTTTTTTTAAATACTGCCACATCAGTAATTTCGGCCGTCGGAGCTCTGACGCCGGTGACCCTGCCGGCGACCAACCACCGGAGCTCCGGCGACCGGTTGCTGGAGTTCCGATGACTACTCTTTTTTATATATTGACTATTCTTTTTTAGCTATTGACTACATGTATTTTTAAACTCTAATGATACATTACCAGAACTCCGGTGACTGGTCAGGGGAGTTCTAGTGACTACTTTTTCTTATGTATTGACTACATTTATTTTGAAATTCTGATGACTACTCTTGCTAAACTATTGATTACTCTAGTAATGCGATTTACTACGCTTGTGTAGTCAATAGCTATATGGAAGTAGTCACTAACAGTAAGGACAATGTTGTCATTTTACAAGATTTAAAAATTTCAAAATGTACCTGGGGTCTAAATTGGGATTTGAAATTTACCTACCATAAGTTGTCATTTAGTAATTTTAAGGGTATTTTATTGTCTTTTTTTCTTTCTTTTTTTACCAGAGAGTTAGATTTACTTGGTTATTATTGCGACTGCATATATACATAAAATTAACTAATTAATTAGGTAGTCGGTGTCAATGGTATTTTAGGGAATTGAAATTTTTTAAGAATCCTTTTAATATGTGAATTGGGTTAGGTCCAAAAAACACAATAGAAAAATCTGCCAACATAACGAGAAAAGGATTCGCAAATTCTGCAGGAAAGTCTGACATACAACCAGACGGAGGGTCACTAGCAGGTTGGGTCGAAGAAATTAGTTTTCATAACGTAATAAATCAAAATTCAAATTCTGACTCGAAGATATTCTCCAATATGTCTAAAAAAAATTACATGTACCTGAAAAAAATCAGGCGGAGGGTTTGGCATGTTTTGCACTTGTAGATAGTATGTCTCATAATGGATCCGGAATAATCGGGCATCCCATGGCCCTTGACGAACTGACCCGACCCATAAATCTTGTGGATTCAGAAGATTAACTTAGGTGTTCTCTGGTATAAAAAAAAAAAAAAACTTCGTTGTTTTTTTCCCCCATTGCAAGTGATTTTTTTTTATAACTCACATGTCACTCTTGTATTATTTTGCTCCAAAATCAATATAAAATCAAGAGTAAAATGCACTTTAGCCAATGTTTAACACTAAGAATATTTCGTTAGAAATTCTAAAATACTTAATTTATTTATTATTTGTCATTATGTTGAAAATTTAAAAATTATCAGTTTACCCTCCTAATCGAATTCTGTTCTCTCCCCCAAAATTTAAAGAAATTTGAATAATTAAGTAGGGTGATATTTAAATAAATATGTTTTTCAAAAATTATTGTATAAAAATTAATAAGATTTTAAAAAAAGCATTAATTATATTGATTAATTTATGTCTTATTACATTAAATCCTATTTTTTTGAAATATTAGTTTAGCTGAATTATATATTTAAACATTAAAAAATAAAGATTACAAAATAAATAAGCTTAAATGAATTGGAAATTTAAGTTATCATTAAAAAATTTAAAACACAGAAATTAAAATATTTTTTTAATAAATGAATCTTAAATAATAGTATCTATGTTTAAATTGGGATATTGTAGTTTAAAATATGTAACTTAGCAATTAATTAAAGGTTAGGGTGGGGGAGAGTGGAATCTGAAAAACATAATAGGTTTTAAAAATAAAAATAAAAATCCATGGTGAAGATAAAATATAGGAGCATCTGTATATTTTACTCTAAAACCAAACATGCACGTGGTTAGTGAAAATATAGGGAATACAATGATGACTTTCATAAAATTATTAATCATAAATATAAAAAAGTTGATACTACCTCCGGTCCTTAATATAATATCCCATTTGACTTTTTGTTTGGTCCTAATTATAAGACCCCAATCCATTTTGTCTCTCATATTTATGTATTTTTTTCCAAGATAGTTCTTCTAATAATGATAGTTCTAGCCAATACACTTAACTAGCAAGGATATTTTAGGAATGACAATACTTATTTATTACAAATAACTAACTTAACTTACTTCCTTAATCTCCTCAAATAAGTCAACTGAGTCTTATAATTAAGAATCGAGGTAGTATTACTGTACAGTTCATAAGTTATAACAAACAGTGTAATTTGACTAGAATGCTGACCCTGTG